CATTTCTGCCCCTCTGCTGCCCTTCTGTGGCTATTTCTTGTAATGACACCTCAGTGCTCAGGGCTGGGGGTCGGGAGGGAGCTCTTGATTTCCCAGCCCCTACTTTCCCTAACGTATTTTCTTAAGCAAATTCAGTCAAGTCCAACTTTCAAAACATCCCAGTTGTGCAACAAAATGCTCTAACAAAACAGAAGGCTACAAACAGCTGTACTTGGTGTCCCCTTCCTGGTCCTGCATGGCCCGACCCTCCCAGAAATCCTTACGGGGCATTGCCACAAACTGCCCTGCCCCCAGCACAAAATGTGCTCTTTCTGTACATGCCTGGGATGACCTCCAATCCCAGAATAATACAAAGTGATCTGCTTCCTCCTCACTATGTATTATATAATCTGTGTCCCTCCAACCTCTAGAGACAGCCCCAAACCCACATCTCCCAGAAAATATGCTAGACCACTTCCAAATACAAACCACAGGGTCTCAGCATTTATCAAGCGTTTACGCACCCGAAATAAAGTGTCTCTAAGTAATCTGAACATGTATCAGGTACCAAATGCTTAAATTGGATAACCTCATAGATAATTACATGAAAAATTAATAAAGTATATTTTAGTTATCAACTTTATTAACATGTAGTGCTTTATGAGCAAGAATCTTTGCTTAAGTGGCCTCTGTTGGAAGAAGAGATCAGAGGAACAGAATTTAAGCCCTCTATCAGAATACAGGCTCATTATCTGGGTGTGTGACCTCGGTTTATGGGGATCAAATGGTACCCACAGAAATGGTTCTTCAGAGGACTGATGGAGATTTTGCGTGAAGAGATTTAACATGTGCCTGACATACAGTAAGATTTCTATAAAGCGTAAACTAGTAGTAATAGCTACTATTATCCGAAATATTTATATCTTGAGAAAATAGGCAAGAGACTTTTATAAGCTGATACAGCTTTCGTTTTCACTGTAGAACTGTAAACCAAATGCTAGCGAATTTGCATATGTTGTTTCAATTGCTATCTCTTACAGATGATATATTTTGTTAGTTTTTCTCCTGGTTAATAGAATTTTGTTTTAAATAAAAATTAAGTCACATTCAGAATAAATTTGCTTAAAATAAATCTGTCACTACCTTTATATTCTAGTTAAGCGGAACTGAGAAAGCCACAAAATTAGCAACTGGGGAAATAGCATGCTCGAGGGAAAATTCCACTTTCAACAGAGTTAACAAAATAATCTGGTATTACAATGCTCTATTGAAATGCAACATTTTATGCTAACATTTTTTTAAATTGTTTTTTTCTGGTATCAAAAATAGTGCATTTCTACTGTAAACAAATTTTAGAAAATACGCAGCTAAGACTTAAGAGCATAGGTGATCTCACAGTTAAGAGCCAATCCTTTTTAAAGTATTAGTGAACTAATGACTATCTTTTTTTCCTAAACCAGTGCTGTCTAACAGAACTTTCCATGATGACGAAAATGTCTTCCATCTGTGCTGTCAAACATGAGAACCACTAGCCAGGAGTGGTTATAAAGTATCTGAAATGTAGCTAGAACAAATAAGGAACTAAAGTTTTAATTATGTTTGATGTTAATTAATTAAAATGCATAGTTTTTAATTTTCCCAGCTTTAGTGAGGTATAATTGACAAATCAAAATAGTATGTATATAAAGTAAATAACATGATAATTTGATTTTTGTATATATTGTGAAATGATTATTACAATCAAGTTTAACAAATCCATCACCTCACATAGTTACCGTGTGTGTGTGTGTGTGTGTGTGTGTGTGTGTGTGAGAGAGAGAGAGAGAGAGAGAAACACTCTGGCTTTGTCACCCAGCCTGGAGTGCGGTGATGCAATCTCAACTTTTGCCTCCCAGATTCAAGGAATTCTCCTGCCTCTGCCTCCTGAGTAGCTGAGAATACAGGTGTGCGCCACCACACCTGGCTAATTTTTGTATTTTAGTAAAGACGGGCTTCACCATACTGGCCAGGTTGGTCTCAAACTCCTGACCTCAAGTGAACCACCCTCCTCGGCCTCCCAAAGTGCTAGGGTTATAGACATGAGCCACCGTGCCTAGCTACTCTCAGCAAATTTCAAGTAAGCAGTACCGTATAATTAACTATGGTCACCATATTGTACATTAGATCCCCAAACCATCCTCACCTTATAACTGAAAGTTTGGACCCTTCCATCAGCATCTCCCCATTTTCCTCATCAGCCACTGCTCTACACTCTGCTTTTATGAGTTCAACTTTCACATTTTGTGTATGAGTGAAATCATGTGGTATTTGTCTTTCTGGGTCTTCCTTCCTTCACTGAGCACGATGTCCTTCAGTTCATTCATACTGCTTCAAATGTCAGCATTTCCTTCTTTTCCATGACTGAATAATATTCCACTCTCTATAGAAACATATTTTTATCCATTCATCTGTCAACAACTATAATTTAAATGTAAATTGTCACATGTAAGTAATGCCTGCCATATTGGCATTGGCCAATACAGCTCTCAATGGATATATTTATGATATTGGGAACTTAACATTGCATTGGGAGCATTTCCCCCATGTTATAAAACATCCTGGGAAAACATGATTTAAACGGCTCTTTATTTTATTAAATGAAGGTATTATGAATAATTTGAATATCACTGATTGTGAGGCAATTAGATTTTTTCATTTTAACTCTTGTAAATAAAGCTATAGTAAACCACTTTGTAAAGAAATATTTATCTAGCATTATGACTGTTTCCTTAGGATAAATCTAGAGAGAGAAATTATTAGGTAAAAGGATAAAAACCTCTTTAAGGCTCTAAAAACATGCTGCTATGTTGGTTTCCTGAGATGTTGAATCCATTATACTCCCACCAGCAAGCATCCAGAGAACCTGCCTCTCTGTGCCCTTGTCAATATCAAGCAGAGACGCCATCTCAAAAAAAAAAAAAAAAAAAACAAACAACTTTTGTGTAATTGACAAGCAGAAATGAGATCAAGTGGTTTGAGTATTTTTGTCCTTGGTTGGTGGTTGTGGTGGTCATGGAGATGAGCCTTCCAGAGGGAAGACATGCCGTCCCTGCTGCAGTTGTGTGATGAGCAGACAGTACCTGCCACCTGCTTCAGGATCGGCCTCAGGTGCAGGTTGTTCCCTTCTGGGGTGGCCCACGCCCAGTGACGTGTGAGGCAGAGGCATGCGGACCTGGCATGTGGGCCCGTCTTTGGCCACTCCGATGGGCAGTGCTCACTCGGGAGCTCATGGCTGGGTTGCCCGAGGAATTGCTGGGTCTGCATCACAAATGGACATCTCCGTCTGCCCATCCTGCTTCCCCCGCATCCCATTCCTTGTATAGGTGTGGATCCCTGAGGAATATCTAGCACCCCAAGCCCATCGCAGTATCTGTTGCTGGAGACCCAAATTGCAACAGAAATGATGGACTTTTAAAATTTATTTGCGTTTTTCTGTCATGTTTGTGTTGAGAAGGATTCTGAGGCCACTTTTCAGGCAAGCAGGAAAGAATGCAGATATCAAATAATACATTTCAATCAAAAGATGTGTTACGTCTGAAGCAATAGAAAATGTAATAAATGGCCGGGCACAGTGCTGGCTGTAATCCCAGCACTTTGGGAGCCAAGGCAGGAGGATCACTTGAGCCCCAGAGTTCAAGACCAGCCTGGCCAACATAGTGAAACTTTCTCTCTATAAAAAATACAAATAATAAAAATGGCTGGGCATGGTGGCACATGCCTGCAGTCCCAGCTACTTGAGAGGCTGAGGTGGGAGGATCACTTAAGCTCAGGAGGTTGAGACTGCAGTGAGCTATAATCGTGCCACTGCACTCCAGCCTGAGTGACAGAGTGAGATCCTGTTTCAAAAAAAAAAGAAAAGCAATAAAGATAGAGATAGATGTGTTTGACTTAAAACTTTCTGCATATGAAAAACACCCTAGGCCGGGTGCGGAGGCTCACGCCTGTAATCCCAGCACTTTGGGAGGCCGAGATGGGTGGATCACTTGATGTCAGAGTTCGAGACCAGCCTGGCCAACATGGTGAAACCCCATCTCCAGTAAAAATACAAAAATTAGCCCAGCATGGTGGCACACACCTGTAATTCCAGCTACTGGGGAGTCTATGGCAGGAGAATTGCTTGAAGCCAGGAGGCGGAGGCTGCAGTGAGCCGAGACTGTGCCACTACACTCCAGCCTGGGTGACAGAATAAGACTCTGTCTCAAAAAAAAACAAAAAACCAAAAAAAAAAAAATCCCTGGATAAAAAATTTTTAAGGCACAAATTGAAATGATAATATACAAAAGTTTAATATTTACCTTTAAAGAGATCTTATATGTCAAACTAATCCAAATAGAGAAAACACTGTGCTATCCTGTCTTATGTGCCTTTTTTTTTTTTTTTTTTTTCTGAAGACAGAGTCTCACTCTGTTGCCCAGGCTGGAGTGCAGTGGTGTGAACATGACTCACTGCAGCTTCAACCTCCTGGGCTCAAGTGAGCCTCACACTTCAGACTCCCAAGTAGTTGGGACTAGAGGTGTGCACCATCACACCTGGCTAATTTTTTACTTTTTGTAGAGATGGGATCTTGCTATGTTACTCAGGCTGGACTCAAACTCCTGGCCTCAAGTGATCCTCCTACCTTGGCCTCCCAAAGTGCTGGGATTGCAGGTCTCAGCCACCACATTTGACTTGCACGTATTTCTTTAGGACATAAAAAACATTCTTGCATGGCATCTTCTCTAAACACATTTCTAAAAACCCTTCAGGATCAGGCTCTTCCTCTGAAACTTCAGGTAGCGCAAGATGAAAGTGGTCTTAAAACAACAAAAAAAGTTCTTTTTGAGGAAGTTTAACAAAAATGAGATTGTGGCTTTGCAGGCAAAATCATAGTTCTTCCAACCCTCTTGATCCAAAAAGACTGAGAAAAGTGAGGTAAAGTTGAGTTGAGGTTCCTCTCCAACAACAAAGTCTCACCAAACCCTGATGTCTTCTCTCTCTTACAGCCTTGATCACTGATGACCTCACAGATGCAATTATCTGTGCCAGGAAAATTGTTAAAGAGACACAGGGAATGAACTATTGGTAAGAGTGTTTCCTTGGGAGACTTGGGCTGTCATGGGCAAAACCTAGTGTGTGTATTTATCACAGTTATCGTGGAATTGACAAACTCACCTCCACAGGGTGGTCCAACCAATGGAATGAGACCTTGTATAAATTCTCCTCCATTGGTGTGCAGATGTGCAGTGAACATGGTAGTACAGAGAAGGGGAGAGGAGAGATGGGATTGGGTTAAGATAATTTGCAATTGCTTTTCATATGAACATATTCCAAACAATGGAGAAAGGTATTTTCTAAAGTGACTTGGAAAGGGTCAGTTGAGTCAATTCAACAGAGGAAAAAAAAAAAAAAGCTTGAGTTTGCTCTAGATTTGGATAAGATTTTGAAGGTTACAGCAACATTTTGCAGGGAAAGAGAACGAGCAGCAGCAAGAGGAAAGTGAGCAGGTCTGTGTCATGGTAACTCAGCAGAAAGTGTCCCCAGGATTGAGTCTTGGACTTTGCATTCCCTGCTGCTGTGTCCTATGGAACATTGCCAGCCGGCCACCCACTCAGAGAACCCAAATTTTCAGAGATGTGGGTATGTAATGAAATGACCCGTCCTTACAAAAGTCGATTGCTTGTTGCTGAAGCTAACAATGGCTAGGAGAAAACCAGGAAAGTCTAAACAAGGCAAAATGACAGCACCCTTGAATCTCAGAAGCAAATGAAACCCAACTCAGGGTTCCGCTGGTGATTTTGGTTAATTTCTGTAGACTTTGAAACTAACACGATTTGGATTGTCATGCTTCTTTTTGCTGCTCCTGCTTCCCTCTCGTCCTCAGGCAAGGCTGGAAGAAACACTGTGAGGGCAGAGACCTGTCTGACTGGAAAAAAGGCTGTGAGGTTTCCTAAACTGGAACTGGACCCAGGATACTTTGCAGCGATGCCCTAGGATTTGCAGTGAATGTCCAAATGCCTGTGTCATTTTGTCCCGTTTCCTCCCAATATTCCTTCTCAAACTTGGAGAGGGAAACTTAAGCTATACTTTTAAGAAAATAAATATTTCCATTTACATGTCTTCACCCTGTCTCAGTTTCAATGATGTCATAATAGCATGGTGTTAAGACTTGAAAAATCACCTCCACAATGCTCTAGCCCTGGAAGAAACAAACTTCATTGTAGGGAGTCCTGGTTTCTGTGGTCCTGAAACTGCTGTTCATTCAAAAATGAGACTGTCATCTTGAGGGCCATTCTCAGAAACAGGACACATGCAGAAGGGTGAGGTTAGGAGCTAGGAGCACCTGAGGAGCCAAATCCCCTTAAGAGTACCCCAGAAGGACCGTCTATGCATGCACACCCACAGGCCTAGACACCATTTATCTACCTACACACACGCAAGAGACGTGGAGAGATAGGGCAACTGAGATTCACGGTTTGATGACTGAAATTCTCATAATGGTTCTCAGCTGTATTTTCCGTATTTTATATTCTGCATTTTCCAAGCTTTTCCTGATACATTTTGCTATTAAAGAAAAACATCACCAGGCACGGTGGCTCACATGTGTAATCCCAGCACTTTGGGAGGCCAAGGTGGGTGGATTACTTGAGGTCAGAAGTTTGTGACCAGCCTGTCCAACATGGAGAAACCCCGTCTCTACTGAAAATACAAAAATTAGTCGGGCGTGGTAGTGCGCGCCTGTAATGCCAGCTACTGGGGAGGCTGAGGTGGGAGGTGGAGGTTACAGTGAGCCAAGATCGTGCAGCTGCACTCCAGGCTGGGTGACAGAGCAAGACCCTGTTAAGAAAGGGAAGGGGAAGGGGACATTTTTTTTTCCAGAGAAAAAAATAAGACCCCCACCCAGGCACAGTGGCTCACGCTTGTAATCCCAACAATTTGGGAAGCCAAGGTAGGAGGATTGCTTAAGGCCAGGAGTTCAAGCAAGTCTGGGCAACATAGCAAGACTCTGTCTCTACAGCAATTTTTTTTTTTTTAGTTGTAGCTTTTATGCCCAGATCCTGCTGGAAATTCTAATGGGTCCAAACTGATAAAATTGTAGCTTTTACCCCCAACATCCAGAGAGTACCGCATGTTATTCCAACTTCTACTTAAATCAAGCTTGTCAAACCCACAGCCTATGGGCCGCATGTGGCCCAGGATGGCTTTGAATGTGGGCCAACACAAATTTGTAAACTTTATTACAGCATTATAAGATTTTTTTGTGATTTTTCTTTTTAGCTCATCAGTTATCGTTAGTGTATTTTATGTGTGGCCTGAGACAATTCTTCTTTCAATATGGCCCAGGGAAGCCAAAAGATGGGACACCCTTGATTTAAATCAAACCCATCCAATTCAAAAAGCCATGCTTAAAACCCTATGACAAAGTTGTTTTCAACCTTAGACATACAGATTTTATTCGTATGGCCAGGAACTTGGTGACCCTCTGATGGAAGTCTGGTGACATGGCAGTGAGCTGAGCATCTTAGACCCCAAAGGGATATTCCCAGGATGCCTTCTGCTCTGCACAGGGATGGCACCTCCTCCTGTCTCCCATGGCGGGGTGGCTCTGTGGCACCTGCTGGGTTTTCTCTTGCCCATTATCCACATGCCTCTGTTCTACTGGGGCAGAGCTGGTTGGAGCTGTCTTGTTATAAATTTAGGTGAAGGTAGTAGGCTCATATCGAATGCAATTTGACCTAGAAAATGCCTTTAATTGAGGTTTGTTGGAGAATTGGTTATGCCAACAAGTAAGTTTCCCACTCAGAAGAAAGTCTCCACTGATCAGACTGATGGATACTGTGACAGCGCCTAAATAACCCTTCAATATGCTCTTATTGCCAACTCCCCAGGCCTCACTGATGGCTCCTTTCCTGCCCACTGGCTTCCCTTGCATGTAGAGGCTTTAAGAACTCCTAACTGCTACTTGCCTAAATAAATAAACATGTTATATATTTCTAAACATACATGTCATCCTGGGACAATTTAACAGGCATTACAAACCCCTGGGGAAAAAAGGCTTTTTAACCCCATCTAAGAATTGAAAAATAATTCTATAAGATACCCGAAGAAAATTTAAAAAATGTAGAATCCATTAAGCTGTACTAAATCAATAATCTGTGCTTATAGAAGGCCATAAATATGCATTTTTCATTATTATTGTCCTGTTAGCCATCTGCCTTACAGTCGCCATTCTTAGCCAGATTTCTGCTTCATTAAAAGCAATGGCACCTATTTATGAGCTAAGTTAGCATGAACCTGGCACCAGCCATTCAAAGACTGGGGGAAAGATTTTTTTAAAAACCGACTCCAAAAATAAGTGCTTTAAAACTCAAGGTAAAAAGACATTGGCTGTCCTACAATTAGGCTCATCTATCTTTTTGCAAAACTCACAAAATTTCTAAGCATGCAATCCTACTCTTCCCCTTCCCCCATGTTTGATTTATTTCTATAAAGAATAATTTAGGATGAAAAGAATGCATTTTCCCAGATAATTTTCCATAATTAATGCTTTCAGAAATTCAAGAGGAAATGAATACTTTTATGCCTGAGTTATCTTTATTTAACAAAAGCATATTTTAGAAAAATCCACACTCTCATTCCCCTTTATAGTTTCCAAGAGACTTGGAAGTAGATTTTCATTTACACCTCATGGCCACATTATCTGCTGGTTAGCAGATACACTGAGCAGACCACTGGGTACTGGCGGATAGTGACTGGCTTAGGTGGGTATGTTCTTTCTGTGGGGACTCAGCTCTGCCTGATTCTTGGGACACCTCCCACTTCCCCAGCATCTGGCCCTTTGAATCCCAACTTGTTCCCTGTTGTTCTTCGATGCTTTCTGGTCTGGTCTATGATTTTCCCTTGATGCCTTTTATATCCAGTATATCATTTCCTCTCAGGTGTCCTTGCTCTTGGTTTTTCCCATACTTGGAGGTGTGCCACTCCCCTGCAGCCTATTTAAGCCTGGCCCAGCCAACATAAGCTCCCGGCCCCGCTAACCCCTAAAGCTCTTGCCTCTGAACTCAAGCCTGGTGTGTGCTGTAGGATTAAGTCACTGGGGATTAGTGTCCTTATCCGGTCCATAAGCTCCTTGAGGCCTGGACTATGCCTTTCACTGCAATGTTTCCATAATCCCCACTGCAGTGCTGAACACGTAATAGTCAACATTCAAAAATATTCGATGTTGGCCAGCCACAATGACTCAAGCCTGTAATCCTAACACTGTAGGAGGCCAAGACGGGAGGATCATTTGAGACCAGCCTGGGCAACATAGTGAGACCCCATCTCTACAAAAAGTACAAAGATTAGCTGCATGTGGTGGTGCACACCTGTAGTCCCAGCTACTCAGGAGGTTGAGGTGGGAGGATCGCTTGAGCCAGGAGTTTTAGGCTTCAGTGAACTATGATCGAGCCACTGTACTCCAGCTTGGATGACAGAGTGAGGCCTTGTCTCTCAAAAAAATTAATTAATTAAAAAATTTGATGTTGGTTTTTTGTACCACTGGACACATGTGGAATCATAGAAGGAATACAAATAAGACCTTGCATTTAGAACATTTTTGTTTTCAAATCAGGTTCATGTTTATTATTTCATATGCTCCTCACAACAACCTTGGGATATAGGGAATGTAACCTTCATTCCACACACGTCCCAGAGATACAGAAGGGGTAACTATCGCCCAGGGGCCACAGTGCAACAGCAGAGAATCCAAGACGCCCCTGCTGCCCTGCAGGGATCTTCAGAACTCAGTGACAGAACGTATCCTAGTACCTTTATGAACAGAGAGTGCCTGAGCCCTTCACCTGTGTTCCACACAGCCACTTCCTTGAGTGTCTCAAATATGGCACAAACCCTAAGTCAGCCCCTGAAAGATCTGCAGGAACAATTTAATCTCTTCAAGGTGAATTTAAAAAAGAAAGCCTTCATCAAGAGACCCAGGAAGATTTCCTCTGTGTCTCCAAACTAGAAGGAAAATGCTCTGAATGTCTAAAACGGAAACTCTCAATAAACAGGAACTACTCTTTCCAACTAGAAATACATTTTTTTTTTTTATTTAAAAAGTTTAGGCCGGGTGCGGTGGCTCATGCCTGTAATCCCAGCACTTCAGTAGGCCAAGGTGGGCGGATCACCTGAGGTCAGGAGTTCGAGACCAGCCTGGCCAACATAGTGAAACCCCATCTCTACTAAAAATACAAAAAAAAATTAGCAGGGCATGGCGGTGAGTGCCTGTAATCCCAGCTACTCTGGAGGCTGAGGCATGCGAATTGCTTGAACCCAGAGGCAGAGGTTGCAGTGAGCTGAGATTACATCACTGCACTCCAGCCTGGGCGACACAGTGAGACTCCATCTCAAAAATAAGTAAATAAATAAATAAATAAATACAATAAAAATAAAAAGTTTAAGGGCTGGGTGCAGTGGCTCACACATGTAATCCTAACACTTTGGGAGGCCGAGGTAGGTGGATCCCCTGAGCCCAGGAGTTTGAGACCAGTATGGGCAACACAGTGAGATCCCATCTCTACAAAAAATAAAACAGATTAGCTGGGTGTGGTGGCCTGTGCCTGTGGTCCCAGCTTCTTGGGAGGCTGAGGTGGGAGGATCACTTGAGCCTTGAAGGTCAGGCTGCAGTGAGCTCCAGTCTGGGCAACAGACTGCTCTAGTCTGGGCAACAGAGTGAAACACTGTCTCAAAAAAAAAAAGTTTAAAACATGAAAATTTCTTCCAACATAGGCCAAAGAGCCCACTCCAGCCCCGCTCAGCCCCCTGGTGATACTTCTTCAGGTTGACAGGTTTCCTCTGCAGCACTTCGGTCTTGAAGGGTCCAACTGCTTGAGGACAGACATCACCATCCTCCAGTGCTTGGGCTGCAAGCAGTTCTTTACACACAATGATGTCAGGGGAAGAAAATTCACACAAGAGGAGTCACGCCCAGGGAGAGCTTAGGATCTGGATCTGGGAGGAACCCTGGGCATGGTAGAAGCTTCTGGAACAAAATGGGGCTCCTTGAGGGCCTGGAAGGCAGCTTCACAGCATTCTGCCTTGAACAGGTAATTCTTTCCCTCATTTTTCTCCCCTCTCTCATCT